TCACATTATTATCCCCTACCCCTCAACATTTATCCCCTACCCCTCAACAATATTTGTGATCATACCAAAGATTGAATTGGCATGGCATACAAAATATGTGAAGATTATGATTTTCATCCCATAGTTTTTAGGTAAGATTGTGTAGTCAAACTATAGAAATTGTGACCGATGATGGCATTGGAAGTACTAAAATGATGGGCAAATTCTATTAAAGCATAACTAAAATTACATGGAATTTTACAGTAGCTTGCATATTGTATATGTATTAAATAATATAATATTGCAGAAAAGTTTCCGTGTCTATGCATACTTTTACCGTATGTCCACAACCCTGAAACATTTGCATAATAATTATAATAACAATACAGTCATATAAATAACAATAAAGTAAATAGAATATACATAAGTTTAGCGATTGAAACACTACACAAACCAATAAGTAAACATATAAATAAATTAAAACAAACATACTTGCGATCATCGCCAAACCTTTGAAACTCACAGCCAACGCTTTGTGCAGTCAGCAGGATGCATCGACTGCACAAACTTTTCCAGAAGTTCTTTGACATTTACTGCCACTGTTGATTCTTTCAAGAAGGGCAATAGACAATTTTATATACCCATCGCTCGGCCGTGCACAGTGTTTTCACCTCGAACGTCAGAACGCTAATGAGTGAATTTTTTATTTTACTCATGATGCATTGCGGTCGTAGTGCGATCACCGCCTGGTTCTCGGGTTGATTCTGCGGTTCTCGGGTATGGCTGAAATAAGGCAAGAAAACGACTCGGAAAGCAGCGATGTGGACATTTTAGAAGTTTCCCTTCACAATTTAAGTATCGAGGGTAAGTTGAATGAATTTTATACAATATTTATGTCGCATTTGCCGGTATTGACGGCATGTTTTACATATCTGTATAGCGACGTATACGTCATAGTATCATTGCTTTGTTATTGTTTTTATCTCTCCCGAAATCAACAAATAAAGTTTAAAATCCTATATTTGGTACATTGCCAGTAACAATTATATAAAAGCAGCAAGGATTCTCAAAGGATGGCTTAAATATACGACGGATTGATACATAAGATGTTTTGTAGTCGGCCCATAAAATGGCCGCCAGTGCTGTGGTGTGACACTTATCCTTTAATATTTAGATCTAAGATTCTAAGCAGTGTATCCTATATTAAATACTTTGTATCTAGATGAAGATGATGGATGTTATCCAATGGCAAGTACGCCCCAAAAAGGATGACAAGAAATCAATGAGTGTGCTCTGAATTGTCCAAACGCCAAAGACAAGTGAACCTGGTTCAAAAAGGCTTCACATATCAACAGTTGAGACAGGTTTGTTCTTAGTTTAATAATACTGAGTAGTCTCTCTCAATGTACATATTTTTTATAGCGATATATCTAATCTAGAAATTTTCTTAGACTAAATTAAATTTTGGAATTCAAGGCAGCATCTAGCACCAGTTCAAAGTACTAATAAATTTATGTAGTTTCTCTTTCACACAATAACAGTATGACGAGAATTGGAGAATATATAAAGTTATAAAATTATGGTTATTCAATGTTGTGTCAGTACACCGTTGGCCAGAAATCTTGCTGGATTCTCAAAAGAATCAATTGTGATTGGCTAAGAACTACAGACAATCCTCAATGTTTATCAATGATTTTTTAATGAGACACCTGACAAGGTTTTCTTCCCTGCCATTATAATAACATCATAATTGCATAATGAAACAATTATTGAATTTGGGTTTCGCATGACATCAAGACCGGTCAATGTTATCTGCCGAAGGTCTGGATAATTCTTGATATCATGCTCATCCTCGTCCAATATGTAATTGTTGAATGTTTTTACAATTGTATCCCATTTTTGTTTCTGCATCTTGCTCTCTCTATTTTACAAATAGAGTCTGACACAAACCTTGCTATCCACTCAAGTATATTTTTGTATAAAGTATCAAATCAAAATCTCCAGGGAGAAATGTCAATTTCATATAAAAAAAAACCAATCTAATTAAAGTTACAACTTGCTAAATATATAATATTAGTATCATATAATTAGGATTAACCAATATTAACATAGTATTATATAACTAGGATTAACCAATCACAAAGATACATTAAATATGGTCTGATATACTTGTGCTAGAAATAGCCAGTCAGAGCTACATTCAATATTTTGCACCTATATAATATGTCAGTTTGGATAACTCCTGTTTTTTTTAAAAATTTATGTTGATATACCTAATTAATCAACTCAAACAGATGCCTTTGTTTTGGAAGCCAGTTGGGACCACAATTGGCAATTCCATCACAGCGGGCACGTTAACTATTCACATATCTAGCGCTTCGTCTTCTGCGTCCAACACAATGATAGACGCTAGTCCGAAAGGTAAGAAACTACGACGACTGTTACCTCTTGAAAGTGATAGCAGCCAAGTCAAGATGACAGCCAGGAAAAATGAACTGAAAACCTTTTGTTGAATACTATTTTTATTTACTGTATATAGTCGTCCTATATTGTTATAAATTTTGTTTGAAAGTTATACCGTTTTTGGCACTGTTTAACATATAAGTTGCATTCATACACAATTTTTTCATTCCTGTATGAATTTTGTAATAAATTTGTTTGGTCTGGATACAAGAGCTTCAATAGCATCAAATAGGCAATTCCAGCTTTTAGTTTATGCGTGCAGGGGATGATGGGAAGTAAGGTATCATAGTGCTGATTATGCTGAAAAATTTCAATAAAAACTACCAAAGCAACCAAAATATTTCAATATTTACAAGTATAAGCTATCACTCCATATTTACACAGCCACCATTTTTATTTTTTCAGCATAATCAGCAATGTGATACCTTACTTCCCATTGTCCCTGCACGCATAAACTAAAAGCTGGAATTGCCTATTGTCCTGGTCTAAACTTTCAATGTCCAAGTTCTAGTTTACAGCACCGTCCATTGAAATTCTTTTTGGAGTTGTAGGCAATGTTCCACTTTCAACAGTTTCTCGTCAACTTTTGGTGGCAACAGTAATGGCATCATTGGAACAATTTATATCATTGCCAAATGACACTTTGTATTCTGTGTACATTAGTTCATACTAGATTGACACATCATCCAATCATCCATGGAATTATTCTGTAGAATAATTAAGATATTTGTATGTTACCATAGTCACTACTATAGACGGCCAGCCAACCTCAATAAAAGTGTCTCTAAAATGTCATTGATGGCATTTTTTGTTACAAGCTGGCAACTGGCGTTTTCGTATAGCTTAGGCACTGGAGAACAACGTTTGATAGGTTGCCACCTCTGATATTGACTTTAAAGTGAAAAATTTTGAGAATCTGAAAATTTTGCCTATTAAAATTACTATACTCACTAAATTGTGAAATTTGAAACCAACTTTCAGCAAAAATCACCTATATAATCAGAAAGTTCGGAAAAAAGTAAATATAGAACATTTAAGTGAGAAGTGTGAATTATAACCCTGTTTTGAGTTACGGGCGCTTAAAGTTGCTAAAAAACAGGTTTTGTGACGTCATTCACCGCATTTTACCTCTTTTTAAGTGTCCATAACTCGAATTTGACTAAATAAATCGTATTACTCGTTTAAATGTCTTATATGTACTTTTTTATGCTCTTTCTAACGATATAAACGATGCTAATTTAAGTGAAATTCAAATTTCACATTCAGTTTTCGGGAGTATAATAATTTAATAGGCAAACTGTTCAAATCCTTAAAATTTTCTCTTCGTTCGTTAAAATCAGACGTGGCAACATATCAAACGTGACTCACCAGTGTCTAAGCTATAAGAAAACGCTTGTTGTTTGCTTGTAATAAAAAATGCCATCGACAGTCATATTTTGATTGGCTGGCTGGCCGTCTATGTATAAACCATCATGCATGCGAGTACGGTTGACTGATTTCCTCAAAAATTAATATGACTATGAGATTTGTATAGCTTATGCAGGGTTAACTAAACCGGGCGGCTGACTCGTTTCAATGGGTTTCATTCACATCTTACTATGGCTTCAAATCTTGCGGCAAAAAATCTTGAAAGAAATAGTAGATTTTAAGTTAGGTGCAAACTTTCCTTGAAATAGTTAATTCAAATCTTTTGTTGCATCCAAGGAAAGACTTTCGTGAAACTAATAAGCCCAGTTAGCCAGCACATATCAACAGCCCCTGACTGAGCAAGAAACGATTATCCGCCATAATGTAACTTTACAGAGTTCAGTCTATATCATAGAAATAACATCTATTATTCCTATGGTTTATATATAACTATAATAGTTTTCCATGCAGGGAATCCAAATCGTTACCAGTGCATGCATACGCTTGTAATACAATTTTATCAGCATTGTTAAAACAGTTCAATTCATTTCCGCCCTAAACCAATACTTTATCTAAACCAATACTCTATCTAAACCAATACTCTATCTAAACAATACTCCCCATACTTTTCTTTTTAAAAAAAGTTTCACAAAATTTTTCTAAGTTTTACCTGGAGTCATTCGAACATTTTGTTTTGTGCAAAATTTGAACTTTTTAATTTCTTGCGACTAAACACGATCATCTTTGTGGAGAACTGCAGCATTGCAGTATACGAACCTCTAACCTGAAGTTCAGGCCCTAATTTGAAATAGGGCCCGACACAAAACCTGTCTAGACCGTGGGACGCCCACATGTTATTTTTAGACACACATGCAATATGATTGACAAGTGTTGTAGATTTCGTTACACAAAAAAATTAT